TTCTTGTCCTCCTGCGGTCCCAGGGCAGCCTTCAAGCCAGCTTCCAGTCCTCGCTGGCTGGGCGACCTCACACAGCGTGCTCAACACGAGGACGGCCCATCCTCCTCGGTCACAGATTCTGGCTCCTTGAGCGGCTGGCTTGGTCACTCTGCCAGTGACACCAAGTCAGCGTGTGGGGCTTCCACACTCCAGGGCAGCACGCAGCCAGGAGGAGTAGAGGGGCACAGGTGGCACACTGCCCTGCCCCTGGAGCTCAGGGTTGCCAGTGAGTGTCCTTTCAGGGCGTCCAGGGAGTACCATGGCTTTAGCATCTCATGTGTTTAGTGGATGACTTTGGTGTGTAAATGTCCCAGGGTAGTGTTGCAGGATCACAGGGCGGTTCTAGTTTTATTTTTTGAAGAATCTCCATACTGTTTTTCATAAAAGCTGGGCTGATTCACTTTCCCACAGTGTGCACGAGTGCCCTCCCCCACACCCACCAATCCTGTCGTCTTTGTCTGTGGTAACAGCCGCCCGGCAGGTGTGAGGCGATGTCTCTGTGGTTTCACTTGCAGCAGCCATGGTGGGGCCCTGAAGCAGTGTTTTGTTCACCTCTTTGCCGTTTGTCTGTCTTCTTTTGAGAAATGTCTATTCTGGTTCTTTGGCCATATTAAATTGGATTACTCATTTTTTTTTTTGGTTTTTTTGGTTTTTCTCCGGTACCAGGAACCGAACTCACGACCTTGCGCTTGCCAGGCAAGCGCTTTTGCCGCTGAGCTAAATCCCCAGCCCCTGGATTACTCATTTTTAATTTCAGTCTTTTTATGAGTTCTTGATATAGCCTGGATATTAACTTTCTGACAAATAATGTTTTCTGCCATTCTATAGATTCTCTCTGTTGTTTCCTTGGCTTTTTTTTTTTTTTTTTTTGTCTTTTTGTTTTGTTTTTTGTTTTGTTTTGTTTTTCCAGTACCGGGAATCAAACTCACGATCTCAAGGTTGCCAGGCAGGCGCTGTGCCACTGAGCTAAACCTCCAGCCCCTCCTTGGCTATTTGAAATCATTTCAGTTTGTTGTAATCCTATTTGTATATTTTGGGTCAGATCAAAAAGTCATTGTCTGACACTGATGTCAGGGAGCTTCCTCCTGTGTTTTCCTCTGGTGGTTTGTAGCTTTGCATCTTACATCCAGGTTGTCCCTCCGCACTGAGTTGGTTTCTGTATGTGGTTGTGAGGTAGCATCTAACTTCATTCGTCCGCACGTGGAGATCCAGATCTCCTAGCACCACTCATGGATACAGAAACTGTCCTTCCTCACTGTGTGCTCCGTGACTCTCAAAGGTTCAGTTTGTTGTAAATACATGGACTTATTTCTGGGATCTCTATTCTCTTCCATTTACCCACATGTCTGTTTCATGCTAATAACGTGCTGTTTTGTTACAATAGTTTTGTAGTATATTTTGAAATCAAGTAACACAGTGTCTCCAGCTTTGTTCTTTTTGCTCAGGATTGCTGTGGCTGCTCTGGGTCCTTTGAGTTACAGGATGGGATTTTTTCTATTTCCGTGAAGGATGCCAGTGGGATTTTGATAAGGACCGGCATCTTTTGAAGAAATTAAACATGTTCTCTTACTCATTTTCTCTTCCATTAACTTTCATCTTGTCTTCAGCCGTATCACTCTTACGGCGGCTGTGCCAGAGCTGTCAGTGCCCACGTTCAGCTTACTATTTTGTCTGAGATGACCGCCCTTGTTACTTTGAGGTCAGTTTTATGAAGGGGAGGGCACATCGTGCTGTGCTCGTTCAGAGGCCAGCGTGTGGCACACAGCAGATACACCGCGTGGCACTCACAGTCCTGTGTGCCAGGGACCAGGCCACGCGTCCTGACACAACCGCGAGCCAGGCGGGGCCTCCGTCCAGAGCGCGCACCCGTGTGGACACAGCGGGGCCTCCTCACCGGTGAGGAGGGAGAGCAGAGAGCGCGCGGGCGGCGCTCGGGCCGGGCGTGGCTTGGGGTTTCCGCTCCTCCCGTCTCTGTTGGAGGCAAACCTCCCTCACGCTGGGTGGCGGGAGCCCTCCGCGCCCACACCCGCAGAGCCGCGGGGATGGCGGCTTCTGGGGTCCCCCGGGCCGTCCCTGCACGGGGCTCACCTGCTCGACGGCCCCGCCCGCTCCGGGGGCGGACTCAGAGCTGCGCATGCGCAGCTGCTCCTCCTGGGCTCCTCGGCCGAAGCCGCTTCCCTGGTGAGACCTCCGCGGAGGGCGCAGCTCCGGAAGGTAGCGCGGGCTCGTGCCGGGCTGCGGCGGGGGCGGCCGAGGGACTCGGCAGGAATTAAACGCTAACGTGCGGGCAAGGCTTCCTGTGCGAGGAGCCTACCAGTGCCCGCCTCCAGCCCTCATCTCGTAGGACCTGCCCCTTTTATATTATTATTATTATTAATTATTATTATTACTATTTCTCTATTATTATTTACTGGGGATT